GCTCCCACTTTCATTTTCATGGTCCGGGTTGTGTTGTTCACCTCCCCCCGCCCCCTCCCCCCGTGTGTGCATGTGTGCGTTCAAAAATACAACAGCTTATTTTGTGAGATCTTACTGGATTCCTTTCCCTTCCCCATTTTGTTCACTGGCCCTTCATTTTCCTTCATTGCTAGTTTCCCTGTTTTGCTCAGCTGGGAAACCCTTCCCACCAGTTTCTCTTGCAGGACATCTTCCTGGAAGGGAGCGTTGGCTTGTTGATGTTGAGAGCTCATTGGACCCAGACTGCATCAGCTCCCAAAACCTCTCCATGGACCCTTTATATTCACCTGCTTTAGGAGTATGAAAAACCACCTGACTCGCAGGTTTAATTTTCCATTTGCTGTTCTGGGGCCTGTCACATGTGTATTTTTGACCTGCTTTCTCCTATTGGATGCTGATATCACAGAGGTCCTATAACCTCAGTCATTGGTCCCACCTGTTCATAGTTTGAGGTTTGTGGAAATAACTCATTAAGTTTGCTGAGCAGATTGTCTATATATTTTTGATATTGCTCTCCTTGTTGCACTATAATGGGCAGTAACTTTTTTTTTTTCACTTCTATAGCCATCCACTCAGAATCTGAGAAAATTTCAAATACGGGAGGCATGAGGAACACTCTTCAGGCTCAGATTTTTCTCCCCTAGAGTTCTTTCCCATCCCTTAGCAACCTGGGCTAACGAGGGTTTAATTTCATTTGAAATTTCCTTACAAAGCGTTGCGATGGTATTTTGAGAATCATTTTACCCCATTTTTCCAAATAAGAAAACTCAAGATCATAGCATATACCCATTGTTGCCTCATGAAAGACATAGAGAGAAATAGCAGAACTGCTGATAGGAAGGCTAATTGGCTAAATGAGGGGGGACCATCCCAGAATTATCAGATAAACCTTTTAACAGAAGAAAGGCATTGAGTGTCTCTATCTGATGGGAGCTGACAAGGCCTGGTCTTGCTGTCATGCTCATCTCCAGACAAGGAATTTGCAGAGTAATTTGAACTAACAAGTACTTGGAATTATGACAGATTTTATTAAACTGTGATTGCCTGTAGTTCAAGATTGATGAGAAAAATATCAAATTATATGGTCTTATTTGGGTTTATTTAAAATATCTAAATTATTATTTACATGAGTAAATAAAATTGATTTATTGATTATTAACTTAATAATAGACTCTGTTATTCTGGGAACTGTTATCTAGATTTTTTAGAAAATATATGAAAATTAGAGAAATGATTCTATTCTCTCAGATACACAGACCTACAGAGAATCCTTACAGTCAGGCAAGATGGTCATAGTCCTGGGTTGACCATTTGTCTATTGCTAATGGCAGCTTACAAAAGTCCAGTCGTATTGCTCAAGAAGAACCAAATTATTTCTACACAACAAATATTATTTGCATACTGTATGCCAAACATAGAACAAGCCTCAATGTCCATGAAAATTAAGACATGGAACTCTTTCTGTAGCCCATGGGAAGGAACGCACACATGTCAATACCTGTACATGTACAGTGGAAATGTGTACTAGATGAGGTGGTTCCATTTATAGGGGTGCAAGGAAGCGAGTAGAGGATCACAGAAAGGATATGTGATTTAATTTTGACAGATTAACACAAATATTCAGGTCAGGCCTCATGGTAAAGGCATTGTTGCTAGAAAGAACATAAGCTGTGAAGGCACAATGTCATAAGGAATGACTGAACTTAATGGTAAGTGCTGCTTTTCAAAGGTAATAAATTAGAAAATCTAATTTCTTAAAGGGGCATATGTAGCAGACTACGGTAGTTGTTTCTTTCTGTGGGGGATACATTCCAAGGCCTCCAGTGGATGCCTGAAACCATGGACAGTGCTGAACCTTATATATACTATCTTTTATGTATGTATATACTATTCATACATAGCTTTTACTTCAAGAAATATTCTTTGGCATATCCAGATTGCCAGCATCACTACTCTTGTGCTTAGGGGCCATTATTAAATAAAATAGGGGTTACTGGAACACAGGCACTGCAGTACCATGACAGCTGATCTGAGACCTGAGTCAACTACCTAGTGACTGATGGGTGGGAGCATATTTGGTATGGATACACAGGACCAAGGGATGATTCACATCCCATGTGAGGTGGTGTGAGATTTCATCATGCTACTCAGAATGGCAAACAGTTTAAACCTTATGAATTGCTTATTTCTGGAATTTTCCATTTAATATTTGTGGACCCTGGTTGACCCTGGGTAACTGAAACCACAGAAAACAAATTCTCGGATAAATAGGGAGTGCTTTTTTACTGGTATTATTGGTCATCTCCTTTCCTAGCATATAAACTCGAGCTATATAACATTGATCTTTATAAAGGACCTGGCCCAGAGCTGACCTCTCACTTTTTCATTTAGAAAGTTGACACACGTTTTTATATAAATATTCTAGAAAACAGGAGTTGCGGGTTTATATTTGAGGAGCCTTGGTCCAGTAAAGAAATCATCCAGATGTAAGCCTCCTTGTCTATTCTCTTTCTCAGCCCCACCTCTATATCCCTGTGACCAATTCATTACTGTAGGAACTTGTAGGAACTTATAAGTGGCTCCCAGAGAGAAACAATGAGAAACTACCCCATCTATCACCTGTAGGCAGTGCTAGGACAGTCTTTATAAGATGGAGTGAAAATACTGCCTAAGATTAGGTTGGACTGCGTGTGTAGATTTTAGTCACTCATGCTCCCTCTTTGCCTATTTCTATGGAAAAAGTGTTAGTGGGAGAGTAAGCTCAGTGTTGGTTTTCAATGTGTTAATCTCTGGAAGGTGACTATCAATACTACATGGTTATGAATGACAGGTTAGGTTCCAGAGGATATTTTAAAACCATATCCAACAGTTTTAGAGATTAGAGACTGATATACTGTGAGGAAATTTTTATTTTTTATTTTTTGAATTTATCTTTATTAAAAGTATTACATTTGTCCCCCTTTTTCCCCATTGATCCCCTCCATCCCGCCCCACCCCCCACAGGCCTTCACCCCACTATTGTCTGTGTCCATGGGTTATGCATATATGCATATACATTCTTTGGTTAATCTCTTCCCACCCGCACCCCCCACTTTCCCTCTGAGATTCCTCAGTCTGTTCCATGCTCCCATGTGTCTAGATTAAACCTTACTAAATCATACCCCTTTCTCACCTAGGTTTAGATGAGGAAAGAAGGTACAGAGTATGTAAGTGAATTGCTCAAAGTTCCCTAGTAATTGCATTTGTGCATGAGTGTGTGTGTGTGTGTGATTTTCTCTTTTGCTTTATTTGATGGCTTAGACTAAGCTGGTACTTAAGTCCTTACACATATTTACTTGGTTCAGACATTAATTTTTTTTATAAGGTAGAAAAGAAGTAATCAGGAGTATCTACCAAGATAATTTACCAATGAAGGAATATGAAGTTATTATTCCTTCTCATGCAAACAAATTAGTGAACTAATAATAAATTAATGGTAAGCATTTAGCATGGGATTCATTTACAGATAATGAAGAATAATTACCTGGTTTTAATGGCCCTTCTTGATCATTCAATACAATTAAAATATAAAATTACAAGTATTGACAGATTATCCTACTATAAAGTCACATCAATAGTAAATGTCTTTTAGTAGCTCCAAACACTTAAAATTAGAAAAAAATTGTGGCATTTCCCTGCATAGTTCAGTGCAGTCTAACATTATTATTTTGATTAACAGCAAAGATTTACTTTACAAGTTGTGTTTTTGCTACAATATCTGAAAAGATGAATAAATAAAACATCCCAAATATGGAAATAATGATTTGATGACCTTAATTCTGAGATTTTCATTCCTCCTGTGGCTTAAGCATCCCTATGCCTCTTTAGATTTCTGGGTCTGGGTTGTGTTGTGACCGTGTTTAATGGTATTTATTGAACCACCACTGTGGAAAACATGTACCAAGATTTCAGGGCATGACATGGCAATTAGAAATAATGATCTGTCATGCTCTCAAAGAGTTTATAAAGAAGGAAGAAGCCAAGGTAATAAAGAATAATATTATAAGGGCAGGTGTAACATGTAAGTGTATGAGTATATATGTGTTTAGGAGCAAGTCCTGTAGACTAATTCTTGAGCATGGGTGGAATGTTGGTCAGGAAAGAAGAGAAGAATTTATCATTATTAAAAGAAAGACTGTCACTGGTGAAGGCCCAATTAGTGTTCCAAGGAAGGGGATGGCCGAAGAGATTATTCCAGTAGGGGGAAGCCCATTGTGGGTAGTGCAAGTAGACATGGCCGGCACGTTTACTTGGCTCAATGGCAGTATATGAGCAGAAGCTATGAGAGAACATGTGGACCCACAGGAAAAGCAATATTTGCAGGAGATCTCTGACATTCACATGTATACATTTATTTGCTGAAAAGGCCATGGCACACAGTGGCCCATCTTCCATGGCTCAGAGGGCTTTCCAAATAGGCAGGAAGTTCTGTCTATTGACAACACTGATTTAATAATTCTCTGTGAATCTGTTTGTTCCAGAGTTTTAAAAATGATCTTCTCATTAAAATGTTCTGTGTGATTATTTCTATTGGGCTAGACTACCTGAGGGCACAAGGACAGTGTCTTCCTTTTTTTCATTAATTTAAGCATTCAAAATGCATTAATCTCTTGCTAAGGGGCAGACTATTGAGAGTACAAAGTACATTTAATTGATGAGAATAGTCCCCATGCCTAATTATACATGGGAGATTAAAAACGTAGGCAACATAAAAAGAGTTGCCAGGTAACAAAACCAAAGAGTATGCACATTGAATTACACAATGGTTTTGTGTTCTAAATATTATGCTTAATAATATTTTCAATAGCCTCTTTCCTGTGGTTCTTGTACATGCCCCTACATGTATACAGATAATCATCGTTTATCAGCTAACTCTGGCTCTTCCCTAATGCTGTCCCCTCTTTGGTTTTCGGTTTTTGTAGTCATGCGATCCCCACGCAATGCAGAGAAGAACCCGCCACCTGCTGAGGCCCTCGCTGAGCTCCAGGGCGTGTGCTGAGGACTCCCAGGCGCGGCCCTGCCTCCTCAATGAAAACTGCTTCCAGTTCCAGTACAACCTGACAGGTAGAGCTGAAAGCCACAGCCGCGCCTTTTCTCTTAACGCTCACTCACGTGAGAAGGTTTGCGCATGTGCATTCTTCAGATTGAGGACCGACAATAGAATGTGCAAACATCTATCTGACGACAGGCTGAGGATTTGACATTTCAAATGTCCCTTTACAGAAACAAATGCCCACTCTCTCCATGTAGGTGCAGCAGCCCCACCTACAATTTCTGAATTCAAAGGTGCTTAGAAAGATTTGGCAAAGTTTCAGAATCGAGTTGAATTAAGCCATGAGAAACTGAAACAGTAAGAATATCAGGGGATAATGTACCATTTAGGAAAGAATATAATCATTCTGTCATAGAATTTAGCTCTTTAATGGTCTCTATTATTCAAGAAATTCAAGCTTGTGATGTACTTGCTCTGTGGGTCTCAATAAGGGCGGATGGTAGGCCTGCCCAGACAGGGATGCTTGAGATGCACTAGGAATCATAACAGACTCTTTAGTCAGCCACTGCTCAGGTTTTTCTTCGACACCAGAGTGTCTAATACCAAAGACTGTTTAGTTACATTGACCTGCCCCCCCACCATTCCCTGCAGTAGCAGATATACAAAATGCCACAAAATGTGGAACCATGTTGAGTCTCAATATTGGATTCAATACTGATGACCAAACCGCCTTGTGCCTGCAGAGGCAACGCAATGCAACAAATTCCCCACCGACACCCCAGTGGCACTGCTGAGATTTCCCATGTAGAAAACTTTGTAGTAAATTCTGTGGGGCTGTATGATTGTCTTTATAGGTGAAAGATGATTTTGTGTTTTCTTTTTCATTAGATGCTTCAGATCCTTGGTTTTCATAGTAATTTTTCAGAAATACAATTAAATTTGCTTTACTGGAACAGCATAAATCACTGATTTTAAATCACTGATTTTAAATCACTGATTTTATTATACAAGAGTTTGCTATTCCAATTAAACTCTTAGACCATTTACCAAATATGGAAAACCTCCTCAGAAGGGGTCTCATTGCATATGATTGTGAATCTTCTCTTTACCCACACCAAAATAAGAATTTTTTAAGAAACAGGTTAATTATGTGAGAATTCTAACTCTCATTTATCTGTTTTGTAATGCAACTAGCCAAATCCATAAAACCTTCTTTGATGAGAATTTTTAAAAATTGGAGTCCTGGGGACAGCCTGTATAGCTCTGAATACATTGAACTCTTTCCTTTCTAGGGCATCTCTCTTGGCTGCACTGTACCAAATATACCAACTTGTTTAGATGATTATATTTATTCCTTGAGAACATTTTCAAGTTTATATCAAAGACCAGCTTCATTTCTTGGTTATTTTCTCTCTTAATTATCCCCAGCAAATCAATGATTCCAAACTTGTTTTCCTTGGCATCCTGGTTAGTTTCTTTCCTTTCCTCCCCAGCCAACTGTGAGATGGTTTCTAACAAACACTTCGCTTTTTACCTCAAGAAAGCAAACTTAGAAAGGGAATTCACTCCTATTAATTTGGTTGTTTTTCTATGAAAAATTGCATTATGTATTTGAAGCCAGCTGAAGTGGTTTTAAGGTTATGTGCACACTATCCTTCCCCACCAATGAAGAAAACCGAAGGTTTGTTTATTTTGCTCACATCGCCATACTTTTGAAACTCCTCTTGGTGGTTCTGTGCCTGTAGAGTGGAGCACGTGCCAGCTGAGTGAAAACGCGACCTGTGGCCAAGGCGTCAGGACCCGCCTCCTGAGCTGTGTGCGCAGCGACGGCAGGCCGGTCGGCATGGACCAATGCGAGCAGGTAATTTTAGATTTGTATTTCACACCCAAATGTGTTCATTAATATTGGTCTGCAACCTCCAGGATGCTTGATGTAAGTGACAGACTGGTTTCTCATCACAGCTTAGGTTCAGTTGGAGTAATTGGTGCTTGTGTAGATCTCACTAGTTTGAACTTAGTCACAATGACTGGGAAGGTTCTTTTGTCTTGGGGAAATGAGTTCATTACATTTTTTTTATGATTTTTAAGAACTTATTTAGGCATACTGGCCAACAAACTGTTGACATCAGGTGACTCTAATATTTAGATATGACTCTTTGTATTGGGCAGGTGATTCATTTGCATATGTGATAAACACCGTCTCTTCCATATAAGATGAACACTGAGAGTGGCTATTAGAATACTCTGCTAATTTTCTTAGTATCTGATTGCTAGATAATTGCGACAGTTGTATTTTTCTTCTCAAACTAAGTTAAAATACCTCCCTACCAAGTTTCAAATGAGCTGGTTCAGAATTTTGGCCCCTTTTTTTTCCTGTGACAAACTATGTAGAGTTTGTATAAAAGCTGTTCCAAAGAATTCAACATTACCTCCCCAATGTACAAGTGAAAAGCACTATGGGGGAAGTTTAATAGAAATAAATATGACCATATGCTGCCACACTGTAAGAATCACTAAACAACCTTTGGAATACATTGAGAATACGGGGCCAGATAACTCAGATCACCACAGAACCTTTTTTAACAAATTGGCAAAATAAAAGTTCTCCCATTTCTCCTAACATAGGTGGACTCCACAAGTAGAAATTAAAATCAAAACAAATCTTCCTCCTCTAATCTGATTTAATGTGTTAAGTACTGTCACAAAAACAAGCTCTCTAAACTAAAAGTATAGCTATAGACTGACACCAACTCTGAGGCCAAACCATCTGAAATTGGATGTCCCATTTGGTGAAATTCTCACACTGGCTAATACATGGCAGAGTTCTGTCTACCAAGAGTCAGTGATATATTTTAACGTATGATTTCATTTCATCTGTTTCTCAAGAAGTTATCGGCTTCAAGAAAAATAAATTAACAATCTACAACAACTCCAAATAAGTAAGAAATCTTACATTCAGTGTGCATAACAAATATTTTCTTTTGATACAAAGAAGGATCTAAGTTTTCATTAATAGAAAAATCAGTTTCTCTGCTTTGCTTTCCAAATACCACATGACCAAGAAATATTTTAAACATATTAAAGAAATCCCAAATTATTAACCTAACTAGAATACCTAAATATCTTGTATGGATCATAGATTCCATATGGTAATTTCCACTTTTCCCACTTATCATACTATACTCATTAATTTTAGCTTAGTATGGGCATTGCTAACACTTAACATGTGTTGAAGGTCAAAGTTTTCCTAAATATGCACACAGTGTGTATTCCTAAAGCATAATCTTTTTTTATGCTTTATGTTTCTTAGATGATTTATTATTTCACTAAGACCTCTTCTACCTTGATCATCAGAAAAATTTGTAGATTTTGCCTAGATACAGGTTTCAGCGAAAACAAGAGGAAAACCAACTGTATCACTAACTTTTCCCATGATTATGGTCATGATTATGTTTTTTACCATAATTGGTCTTTTTAAATAAACTTTAGATGGGTTTATTTGGGTTTTATTTTATTATTTTTATTTTAGCCTAGCTAGCCATTGGTTTTGAGCTTTCTATGTACCATTGGCTCACCCAGAAGTGCAAGGTGCTTGGATTTAGCACTGAGCATCCTCCTAGTCCCCTGCTGGTTGAGTAACAGGACAGATCTCTGTGTCATGTAACCAGCTGCTCTCCCAGTACCCTAATTGCAGGTCTAAAGTCTATAAAAAGAAGTTTTGGCTGACAAGTATTGATTCTTGTGAAGTAAGGACAACTATTTTATGTAATTGCCACCAATTTATATAAGAAAGGATATTTTCCCTCCATAAACATGTTAAAAGATAATTATCATAAAATAAAGGGCAGTCTTTCCCATAAAAGGATAATGTGATTTGATGATATTAATTCTCCAGTAAAATCATATTTCATTTCTCCCTGCAGCACAACTTGGAGAAGCCCCAGAGAATGAGCATTCACTGTCTTGTGGAATGTGTGGTCAACTGTCAGCTTTCGGAGTGGACAGCTTGGACAGAGTGTTCACAGACTTGTGGCCATGGAGGTACATGGGTTCCCTATGTTTGTTCCCACTAAATAATTTAGTTTTAAGTATCTTTCAATATGCTGTAGCTTGACAAATGGGCATGAGGCATGTTGGCCAGCTGGAGGAAACATGAGGCTGACACAGGGGAGGGGAGAGAACCTGGCTTCATCTCAGTCCTTTATGATTAGGCAGAGATTGAAGAACTGCCTTGCTAACAGTGGCCAATGCCAGAGGAGCTGCTGGCTGTGTGGGACAGTGTTTATTCAAAGGTCATAAGCTTAGCCAATTATAAAAATGTTGGCCTCTGTTGTTTTTGGAAGAAGTATGTTTTATATAAGTAAAGCTAGCTCCTGTGTCAGGTAAATGCCCAAATCAAAGTGGCTTAAAATCATAGACTAGAGACTAAGTTTTCACTCACAAAAATGGTAGAGTAGTTTCTGCCTCACAAGGTTAGTTAAAGATACAGACTGATAAAGGCTCAACCAGGTTTCTCTGGAGGGTTATATTCAGCTGGTTCTGTGGAGGTTTTTATGGACCAGGTAGGAAGGAGCATACATCTCTCCCATCTATATTCTACTAGGCAAAATTTAGTCTCAAGTCCCTAGCTCTGTGCAAGGTGGTAGGGCAGGAAGTGAAGTTTCCATAATGACAAGGAATGCAGAAGGCAGCTGATGCTCAGAAGCTGTGCAAACAAATGCATGGACAGCTCTCCAGCCTCCAGGCCAAAGCAGGGGCCATGCAAGAGTATCACAGAAATGCACAGAACTGCGGTTTAAGATCGCAGTGTAGCCCTGAGAGAGAGTTACAGTTTATCACAAGTAAATGTCAGAAATTCGGAGTAGGGACCTAGAGAGAGATCCTGTTCCACGGCTGGGCACTGAGCAGGGGCGGAGAAGAGAAGATGAACCGAAAGGTGGAGGAATCATGGAATTGGGGTGGCAGGAGGGGATGCCAACACCCGGATCTAGTTGGCAAAGATATTTGGAAGCAGTTGTCTAAAAATCCTGTGACTGGCTCACTAGCACTAGAAATGAGCTCATTTCTGAGCTGCTCATCATTAAGGGTGCTGGGGTTATTGATGATTCTCTGCCTTACTTGGGAATCATCTGAAAACTGAGGCAGGATGCATCATGGGAAAGGGGCTTATCTTCGAGCTCAGCTGAAGATCCTGGAAAGGGCAGAGCTAAAAACAGTAGCCAGAATATGTATTAGAAAAATGTGGCTAGGGAATTTGGAAAATATTTCTGCAAAGAGCATGACTCAAAATGAAAATTTAGGAATTGCAATATCTAGTAAGAACATGCAGTTTCCTGCACAATTTAGAGCCTGCAGAAAACCCAGGTGGTAAGTTTAGGACCAAGATTTCAGTGACTAATCTAGAGTTCCTCAAATTTTCTGATTGGCAGGATGGCATAATTTCTAGTTGGGCATCTACTTTAAAGTTGGATATATCCAGGTTCATATTGCCGCTGGTCAAGCCAATTCAGTTTTCTGAGTCTCAGCTTCATTTATAAAATGGAATTCATGCACATATTAGACGCCCTGTTTTTGTTGTGAGAATTAAATGATGTGAAGTGTATGAAGGTACCTAGAATATGTTAATTTAGCGTATGTCAATTTCCAGCTCCATTTTCCAACCCACCAGCAGGAGAAAGGGCTCTCAGAAACTCTCTAGGATCTTTTAAAGATTATTCCATAGGCTCAGTCACTCTCATTTCCCACTCTCATAACTTATCCTCTTATCTCACTAAAAATCTGTATGCTATAGTCCTAGCCTAAGTGAACTTTTAAAAATGCAAATCTGAACACCTGTTTTCCTGTTGACTTCTGAGTCATTCATCAATTCACTTGTCCATAAGCACAGACCTATGTGCCAGTCACTGTTCTATGTGTTGGGGTTGCAGAAGTAGAGGAATAAAAGGTCATTTCCCTATTCTCATGGAGTTTATAATCTGAGAGAAAACAGACAGTAAATAAATAAATAGGTAACACTGTATACTGATGAGTTCACCAAAGACTCCTACAAGGGAGCGGTGTCATTCACATTGGCGATGTCCATCTTCAGAACTACCGGCTCCTCTTTTATCCAGTGGTGACCCACCCTGCTTATCCCACAGCCATAAACACTGCAGTCTAGTCCGCACGGGCCTCTGCTGGGATGGATGACTCTCAGAGGTAAAGAGGAGAATGGAAAAGTAGAGAAAGGAAGAAGTCCTGTATTGTCAGCATTGTCCAGAGGACCTGTAGGATCTCACCCTGTCTGCCCCTCCGCCCCTCCAGCCCCATCACCCTCCACCTGCCCAGCTGGCTCTCTGGGCTCCATTGTAGCATCTTTCAGCCACATCCTTGTGTGTACTTTCTTGAACTTTGGCACTTTTCCTTGTGTGGAACATCTCTCACCCCCACTACTGCCTCTTACTACTTTTATCAAGCATGAATTACTCTCTAATGGTTGGTTGTCTAAGGGGCCAAACACACTCTTGGGTTCTTTGTGGGTGTATCCCCCCAGCTCCTATGAAGCACAGTACCTGGCACTTTGGAGAAATTTCTGTTTGTCATTGCACAGGTGGTTCTGGACTGTAAGGGAAAGCCTGAAGGGGAAGAGCTTGCAGACTGGATCACAAGCCCAGGACAGCCAGCTGTTCCCTCTCCCCCTAACTGAATACGGAAATCTTAGGCATCGTCACCTAAGAATGTGTTCAGTGCCAGGGGACAGCGTATCTGGTGGTTATAATTTTCCTGAAAGTCCTCATTCTGCCACTGTGCTTAGTGAAGCATGATAGATCGCCATGTTCTGCTAATAAACCACCTTTAAAAATTAGACCCCAATTTGTAAGTTTAATATTAAAACATCACTTTAATTTTTCAAACAGTTTTATTAGTGGACTCATCAGACACTGCTTGTCTGATAGAAAGTAAACGGGGGGGAGGGACAACTTCCAAATCTGGATCCCACTCCCTATTGGGGAATTCTAGGCAATTAGAGTTTGAACTTAAATTCACATTTTCTAAACAAAAATTAAAGATTTCCAAGGTAAAGTCACTGTGGAACTAGGGAAGGAATGTTAACTACTGGGAGAAATCAGGTTGTATAAATCATCTTAGAAATCATCTAAAGAGTATCCATTGGCACACAGATAAGGTGCTAGTTATAAATCACCTCGAGCTAATTTCTAATGCTCTAGCACAGCTGTGCTACAGGAATTTTTAAAACATGCAATACCTGACTATTTAGTCAGGGGCACTGACCTCTTTCCCCTTAGATTGTCAAACAAAAACAAGAGCTGTCTGGTGTGAGTGAATCAAAATTATACTTTTTTTAAATCAGTTCGGCAAAAGATATTTTTGGTGTGCTGCATAATTTTAGTAATTAGTTTATGTGTGCCATGAGATTAAAAAGGTCGAACATCTGTGTTCTAGTAGGATAACTTCTTGGGTATCTTTTCTTGACCCTTAGATGTCTTGATCTCCTAAATTGTCAGATATAATGATGCCTTTTTTAAAAAAATCTTTATTGATTTCTGAGAAAGGAAGGGAGAGGGAGAGGTAGAAACATCAATGACATGAGAGTCATTGATCAGCCGCCTCCTGCATGGCTTGACTGGGGATCAAGCCCGCAACCCGGGCATGTGCCCTGACTGGGAATCGAACCCTGATCGCCTGGATCCTAGGTCGGTGCTCAACTGCTGAGCTACCCCCAGCCAGGCATAATGATGCCTTTTTTAAAAATATTCCTCAATCCTGAAATCTGACAAACCCTCCGGTGCTCTGCTTTAAATGTGTATGTATTCTGTTTTTTCCTTTATTTAGTCAATAAAGGTTTACGAAGTTGACACCTATTATGCAGGCACCTAAGGGTATCCTTTTTCATTGTCAAGAGTGACAGTGTAGAAAGTAAATGATACAGTGACCCTGCTATTTTGAGTTGTAATCTTGAAGGCAGGACGTAGAAGAAATGTATTCATATATTTCACAAATACTCACTGGGTGCTTTCTGAGCACCAGGAGTGCAGGGTACACTGTGCATGGAACTAAATTCCCCGACTTTGTAAATGTAACAGTCTAGGGGAAAAGGAGATGATGGTGAGACAGCACATCAACAAGTAAATAAACACAAAACTAACAGACTCTGAGCAGTGGTATGAGAAAATCGAAACGTGTCCTGTGACGGAGAGTGACAAGTGTCTTGCAGGGAAGTGAGGGGTGGGGAAGGAAGGCTGCTGAGGAGGTGATATTTGGGTCAAAATTGAATGACGAGGTCAGTAGCTCTTAGAACTATTGTTTTCTTTACTAGATGCCCAGGGTTCAATCTCAGCATTTTTTATTATCTGTTTGCAGTCAAGGCTCTGTGTTAGGACCTATACACAAAAACATAAAAATGAGTCTTTTTCTAGTTCTCTTGGTGGCCACCTTCAATATTAAAAAGAATAGAGCAGTAGAAAAAATACTGGGACACATTGAAATGTTAAGCATCTCCCCTCAGGACCCTGGCAAGCAGGCGGCCCCTGTGGAATATTATATTACCCTCCGCCAGTTCCCAAGCCTCGGCCCCTTCCAATCTCCCGGCTCCACCCCTCTGTCACCTCCCCCGGCAGGTAGTAATGTCCCTAACCCTCACTCAGCACAAGCTACAAGTGATAATCACAAGCAGAACCATAGGGCACAGATGAACTTGTTTCTTAAACGAGACCAAAATGTGGAGCTGAGGTTGGACACTCGTGAAGAAGCGTCTGCGGCCGCCAGCAGCTGTCCTGTACCCGCCGCTCTTGGTTCCACCTGGTGGTGGCAGTGGGGCAGAGACCGCAAGAGGAGACAGACGGGAGTGAGTCACAGTGAAGCGGGCAAGCGAGTTGCGAGGGAATCTGACTTCTTTATGAAAGGCAAAAGCTCACACGGTCGTCTCCGTTTATGGATTCACTGGGTTGTCGGGCAAAACCAGGAGCCACACTTCACCTTCAAACCCACAGATCGACATGGGTCCGAGGGGACCCTTTGAAATGAGTCTTTCCTCACTCTCC